TTTAAACTTATTGGGCCAGGAGAGATTGGAGATCTTGCAGAGGGGAGTGAGGGGGAAGGGGGGTAGAAATGGGTAGGGAGGGGAGGGACAGAAAAGAGGTAATTAGAAGGGGCAAAGAAGAAATGTATTGATTATGTATATGTATTGTGTCTCTTCTTATGGAATTTTTGTAATAATATGAAAAACTAATAAATATTTAAATTAAAAAAAAAAAAAAAAAAAAATATATAGCGGGACTGCGGCAGGTATTTTGACACTGGGCGGGAACTGATTGCCACTGACATCCCCAGTGACACGAATACAGTGATCAGTGCTAATAAAAAGCAATGACACTGTACTAATGACACTGGGCAGGAAGGGGTTAACATCTGGGGCGATCAAAGGGTTAACTGTGTGCGTTTTACATTGTGTGCTGTTTTACTTGGTAGACATGCTGCTTTGCAGAGAGATTAAAAGCAATGTGTCCATGTTGACAGGTGAGAGACCTGTGTTGTTTACACACAGGTCTCTCCCCGTCAGCTTTGCCGACAATCACCGAATCCTGGCCGGGACGAGGTGACTGGCATCCCCAGCAGCACGGATAGGGTGGCGCGTGCACCCCCAACCCAGAAATGCAAATCACGTATATGTACACACGGGATTTTTCGCAGCCATGCTGCCCTGTAGCAGTACATATGCTATAGGGCGGTGGGCAAATGGTTAATAATACAAAAATCCCACCTGAAATGGATAGGAGTGCATTTAAATAGTGGATAAAGGCTGGTTTAGAGTAGGCCATTTTTTTCAATCATAAAAGGGATTCTCACAAAGGACAACTGGAATAATACTTTTAAGATTTCTTCATGCGAGTTGATCTACTAAAGGCCACAGGCTTTCCACTGTAAGTCTGGGTTCACACTTATGCGGTGCAGAATTTGCACAGGTTTCTGTGGGAATTTCGCACCACATCATAATCACACCCTGTTCATGCGAATCACTGCCAGTGTGTATGTTAACAACATCCCTAAATTGGTTTGCAAAATGTGGTGCGATGTGCAGAAGAATGGGTGTGAAGATTCTAGTGTGGACAAAAAAAAAAAAAAAAAAAAAAAAAAAAAAAAAAAAAAAGGAGGGGTCTTGAGCCTTTCTGGTGTGGATGAAGTGCGATTTGAGCCATACAAAATGTATGGCTCAAATTGCACCACACAGATATCGCATGTGATTTGCACAGGAATGCGTTGGGGTTCCTGTGCGAATCGCATGCGATATCCCGCTCTGCAAAAGTGTGAAACCAGGCTAAGGGAATTTTCCCTTAGCTTGGTGAATACGGTGAAAATTCACTTTGAAAAAAAAATATCAAATCAGATTGGAATAAAAACAGTATTTTTGCTTGCATGTGACAGGATGATGATAGTCAGCAGAGTTCCAGCTCACTCATTATGCATAGGGAAAATTCTCTTGCAATCAATCCCAAGATCTTCCTCAAGGAATACTACAAATTTTGGTTTCCCACAACTTGGATCCCCCTTTCCCTTTTTTTTTCCCCCTTGATCTTTTCCCTTAACCAAATATTACTCTTATACTAGTTCTTATTGTTACTCTGTAATATTACAACATAGACATTGTAAAAGTAAACCTATTCTTTATTTAAAAATATCAATAAACATATTGAAAGAGATTATGTTATAGGTTGCTTGTGGACAGAATTAAAAAAAAAAAACAGTTTTTAACAGGTCTCAGTAGATACATAGCGGATTTGACTTGCTTACCTTTTCCAAAAACTCATTAATACTATCGGATTTATTCAAGGCCGTAACTTTCATTTTAAAAGTTAACATAACCTCCACAGCAACAAATACAAGAATCTTGCAGGATCCACTAACGAGTTTGTCCCACACCCTACAGACAGTTGAGAAAAACAGCAGGTGTTAGAAAAAGTGTCCTGTATAAAATCACAGTGTGCATACACACAGAGCTAACACAGAAGACTCCTGTTAAACATTCAGGGACAAATTTACTTTACGGCCTTGTTCACATGGGTTTACAGTTTGTATAAGAGAAGTGTGTAAAGCAAACATCTGCAAAACTTAGGAAGTTTTGATCAGCTTTTGTGAAGCCCTAAAAGGATAAGTGCATTTTAAACACAGAGCACATACCTTGTTTGACCCAACTAACAGATCCCATCTCTCCTGAGATGCATACTTAAAAATCCCATTTCAGTCTTTGCAGATGACACCAAGCTGTGCAGTGAAATAACGTCCTTACAGGATGTCTCCAACTTACAAGCTGACCTAAATGCTCTGTGTAATTGGGCAACTATGTGGTAAATGAGGTTTAATATTGATAAATGTAAGGTTATGCCCTTGGGGGCTAAGAATATGTATGCATCATACATACTGGGGGGGGGGGTACAACTGGGGGAATCAATGTGAAGGATCTGGGGGTTCTGGTAGATCACAAGCTTAATAATGGCATGCAATGCCAAGCTGCGGTTTCTAAAGCGCGCAAAATCCTCTCTTGTATTAAAAGAGGTATAGACTCCAGAGAGAGAGATATCATATTACTCCTGTACAAATCATTAGTAAGATCTCATCTGGAATATGCAGTTCAGTTTTGGGCACAAATTCACAAAAAGAACATTGGGGAACTGGAGAAAGTACAGAGAAGGGCAACCAAACTGATAAGAGGCATGGAGGAGGTCACCTATGAGGAAAGATTAGAGGAAAAGAATTTATTCTCTCTTGAGAAGAGAAGGTTAAGGGGGGATATGATCAACATGTATAAATACATCAGTGGTTTCATATAGTGAACTCGGTGTACAGCCATCCACCCTGAGGTCATCACAGAGGACAAGGGGGCACTCTTTACGTCTGGATGGAAAAGAAATGTAATCTCCAAACACGGAAAGTTTTCTTCACAGTGAGAGCTGTGAAAATGTGGAATAGACTCCCTCAAGAGTTGGTTCTGGCCAGCTCAGTGGATTGCTTCAAAAAAGGCCTGGATTCTTTCTTGGATACACAGAATATAACTGGATACTAACATTTGTAGGTAAAGTTGATCCAGGGAATGTCCGATTGCCTTTCGGGGGATCAGGAAGGAATTTTTGTCCCAGCAGTAGCAAACTGGATCGTGCTTTGCTGGGGGGTATTTTTTTTGCCTTCCCTGGATTAACTGTGGATATAGGATTATACCTTTTTTTTTCCTATGGTTGAACTGGATGGATTTTTGTCTTTTTTCAGCCAGACTAACTATGTAACTACGTAACCTTGATCAGATGACCTCAGGCTGCTTCCTGGCTGTGCTTGTGCAGTTAAATCCCATAAAAGTCTATGACCCTGTTTCCATGTGCTGTATATCACTGGCTGTGGATGGAGATAAGACTCTACTGCATAGACACGGACAGGAGGCTTCAGCGCCAGTCTGGGAATGCTAAACAGATCTTAAAAAAGGAGTGCCAACTGTCACTTTAAAGAAGCTGCTAACAGGCTTTCGAGGGGTGTTGAAGCTTAAAGTGTTGTAAAGACTAAACGTTTTTTAATCTAATGCATTCTCTGCATTAACATAAAACCTGAGCCCTATCTTGTTCCAACGTTGTGCATGAGAACAGAACTGCTTTCACTCCTCACAGGAATCAGAGGCAGCAGCAGGGCCAGGGGCGGGGCGGGACTGAACTGGCCAGTTTTCTATGGTGGCACTTGGGAGGGAGGAGGAGTCAGGAGCGGCGGCAGGGCACGCCAGAAAAGGAAGTTTGGGCAACTCTGTGCAAAACCATTGCACAGAGAAGGCAAGTATAAACGTTTTTTTTTTTTTTTTTTTTTTAAATAAAAAAGAAGAATTTACAAATCACCTTAAGTCTTCTAGCAGCTATTTTAATGTGATATTGACAGAACCTGAAGAAAGCTCTGCCAATGCTCAAAGCTTGCTCTACACACTGCTGAAGCCAGTGCAATCAAGGTCAATTTGAGTAGCAAATAAGGCTGCTACTAAGGGGGAAAAAAAAAAGTATGTATGTAAAAAGTATGTATGTAAATACGTATGTAAAAGTAATTTCACCAAAGATTATAAACACAGGTAATATCAGGACAATTTCACCTGAAAGAAAATTTTGAGGTTCTAGAAAAAGGTGTCTAAAAGTAGAACACTCGAAATGGACATAAAATACTGATCCTCGATTAATAGTGGTACTTAAGTTAAACATCAACTTCACGTTAAAAAAAACAACTCTTAAATCTTAAATAAATATAGTGGAGAATCTACTCCCCCATTAACTGGGACTTTAATGCAAAGTATTTTCTTTAAAAAGTTCACTTTATTGTAATCACATAAAAAGTTTTTGTTTGTACAAATTTTGTTGCATTAAAAACATCAAATTGGCATAATAAATCAAGGTACAATACATATACAGTGCAGAATCACACTCACATTAAAAAGGTTCTATAGTGCACCAAACATTGGCAGCATTAGTATAAAATGTAATCACAATACATATATCGGCGTGCTTCAATGTATATTACTGATCTTCCACACACTTTCCTGTATGTAATTTATGATATACTGTTTAAAGTGATGATGTGAAAGCGCTGCACTATATTTAAAGTGGTTGTAAAGGCTCAAGGTGTTTTTACCTTCACGCATTCTATGAATGAAGGTAAAAACCTGTGTGCAACATCCCCCCAGCCCCCCTAATATTCACCTAAGCCCCCTCCCGGTCCTGCAATGTGCACTGGAGTCTTGGCAATCTCGGGACTCCCGCTCCTCATTGGCTGAGACAGAAACGGGAACCATTGGCTCCTGCTGCTGTTAACCAGAGCCATTGAGCCAATGAGAAGAGAGAGGGGGCAGGGCCAAGCCATAGCTCAATGTGTGAATGGACACATGGAACAGCGGGTGTCCCATAGCAAGCAAGACAGGAGGGAGGGGCCAGGAGCGCCGGTGGGAGACCTGAGAAGAGAAGGATCCGGGCTGCTCTGTGCAAACCCATTACAGAGAGCAGGTTAGTATGGGTTTGTTAATTTTTTTTTTTTTTTTTTTTAAATGTAAGCCTTTAATATAACTTTAAAATTTAAGTTGTAATACACACGGGTATATGAGTGTGGGAGGTGACAGCTGCTTCAATATAGTAGAATTTCGGCTCACATTGGATTTGGATACACTATCATAGCAGCTCACAAGGTTGTTTTTTTTTTTTTTTTAAATGATAACTATTGTGTGTGTATATATTTATTTATTTTTTAACGGGATGACAGCTTTATTTTTTGGATGGAATGGTGAAGAATTAGAACCTATGCCATATTTTTATTGATGTCAGTGTCCACCGTTGGGGTGATTTCACCTCACTTCCTGCTTCAGATACATACTCAGAAGGTTTCCTTTAAACCTCAACCTTAAAGTAACTTCATACAAATAAAGTGAATATATTTGTACCTTTGCAAGCTGGATGCAGGTAAACAACCGGCAAAGCAATTCCTGAACCATAAGTCATACGGGAGCTTTTCCAAAGCATTGCACGTCTTCAGATGAGCCACCAGTCTGCTGTCCTCTAAGTTTAAGTAATGCTCAAATCCTTTTTGCTGCAAAATAGATTGTACAGTGTTAGTAAGAAGACCTCAATGGTATTACCAGGGGGTGTTTAATATAACAATGTGTAAAGTGAATTATGTTAAACTGATAAAAGAAAAAGTGATGTGCTATGCGTTACTGTACTCTGAACATCATTGCTGCCTGAGTTTCATGTCATAAATGTGGCTGGACACTACTTAATAAAAAAACCCAGCTGATACCACTTACAGCCCTTCATTTACTTCAGCTTCTCCACTTTAGGGCCACACATTTCTTGGAAATAAATAATGAGTTTTTCTTTGTAAAAGTGCAATCCATAAAAAAGACATGTAGATTTTCCATCTTGCTGGAAGACCCTGAACTTTCTCTTCTCAATGGAGAAACAGCAGCACGTATTTCACCTTAAGTCTGCAGCATCCATCTGACTGCCAAATTGTGGACAAAAACTAGTTACCACTGACACTACATACTGGAGAAAAAAAGCAAATATCTCAAGACAAATATGTTTTTATGAGGAAGGAAGGAAAAAGAAGAAGGAAAGGAATCTCAAGGAAGGAAGGAATAGGAAGGAAGGAAGGAAGGAAGGAAGGAAGGAAGGAAGGAAGGAAGGAAAGAAGGAAGGAAGGAAGGAAAGGAAGGAAAAGGAAGGAAGGAAGGAAGGAAAGAAAGAAGGAAAAATAACATTTGTATTTGCTTACCGTTTTACACTCCATTTGATCTAAAATTTTGTTCATCCACTTTTGTAATTAACAAGCTTCTACTACAATGCACTGATTATACTATACTTATTCCTGGTTTTACTGATTTCTAAATCATCTCTCCACTAACTGAACAGAGGTGAGGAGGCTCAATCACTGTTCACTGAACCAGGTATAGGCAGAAAAGTTAAGACAGGTGAAACAGAGCCACTACCTCTTTAATCATCCACAGCTTGCAGGCACAGGCTTCCAGCTAGAAAGGTCTTTGGTAACCTTCAATCTACAAGCTATGCATAAAGAAAGCTGGTGCTCCAGTGCAACCAATTTGATCAAATGATCTTCATTAAAGTTTCTGTGATACAGTCATGTAAAAAGCCAAGGTGTTTTGGCTGAAATGCATTGGCTTTTTACATGACTATCACATGAAAAGAGCATTTGATTATAGCCATTGCACTGGAGTGCCAGCTTTTCTTATGCATAGGCAGAGAGGTGACACAGCAAGTGATCTGCTGAATCAGGACAGGTAAAACAGTAAATATATTGTGTACTTAGCTGTTTGCTAATCAGGTCACAGCACACCATTGCTTCTATTAAATCGTAATTGCATATTCAAAGGGAGGCCAGAGTACTCTAACACATACGGCTACTCCCATATACTCAAGGCATAAAAACCCCCCCCATCAAACTCTAGCTTTGCAAACTCCAGAATTGCTCATATTTATTAGAGTGTAGACTGGAAGTTTTTGTCTGGTTTGATGCCAGATTTAAACTTTCACTAGAAAACAACAATTGAAGAATACAAATTTGAACCGGTTTGGTTGCTAAGGAGTAATACAGATGATCTGGAACAGTTCAAAACACCTTAATAAATAAGGCATATTGTAGTGCATCATCTCCTATGTTTTCTAACAGCTGCAAGACTAAAGAATATATCACACATTCCATCATCTATGCTACAGCAATACAGTGATGGAAAACAAGATGGATCTTTGCCACAAAAATAGGAAACCATAAATGTGTTCCCTGAGGAATTATGATTGTAATTTATAGTTAGAATTGTCCCCTTTCATAGAAAATAGGCAGTCTCTGTCCTTGTTCACACTCAAGCATTGAAAAAAAAAAAAAAATACTAAATATCTGAAAATCTTTTTGGATGAGCTTCTACAAAGGGGTGCAGCCACTTGTCATAGGATGCTGGGGTGTGCTACCTTTCCTTCTTGCTGTAGTGCAGGGTTTCTCAACCTTTTTCAGTTGAAACACCCTTCTAAATTCTACACAATGTTTAAGCACCCCATTCTAAAATGTAAAAAGCTAATCTAATACTTTTACATAATGCAGAAAAACATCCATCCATATAGAACATTCAATGTTAGAGGCGATTTATTCATCCAAAGCAAATACATCTTTGCACATTGGTACAGATTAGCATTTCAATGTTTCTCTTCCACACCCCAGTGCTGATGGAGAAGGGGAGAGGCAAGGATGCTGTACAGGTGCCAGACGTCCTCCATATCAGCCAATTACATAATTCGTTGTTGGGAGGCTGTCGGCTGGAAGTTTGTAACAGTGCACAATGAAAACCTATGGCTTTGTGTGGTTAAAAGGCATGCTCCATCTACTCGCTGGCTTGTATACAATTTTAAGCATTGTGCCAAGGAACCCCTGAAGAAATCTGAAGGCAACCACGTTGAAAAAAGGATGCTCTAGTGTATGTGGAAGAGAAGAGATGAGATAGGGATTTAGCTAGCAGGACAGCCAGGTGGAGAAGATTACATCTATTCATCCGGTAGAATAGCAACGCAATCTGTGAAAATGCTTAATAATTGAGCGGTACCATATTCACAGTCATTTCAGGATACAGGAACACTGTATACATACCATCGCAGCTTGGGAATCTCTAAACTTAGTGTCCAAATGATGCACAAAATGTTTGGTGAGCCAGTAGCAATCTACCTCATCATCAACCATCTCCTCCATCATGTTAGCTATAGCCAGGAACAACTCATCCTCTGATTCCTGGAAAATAAAAAGTTTTTGTTACAATGACTTAAGGAAAGTATGTGTATAGTGCCTTGAAAAAAGTATTCATACCCCTTGAAATTTTCCACATTTTGTCACGTTACAACCAAAAACGTAAATGTATTTTTATTTGGATTTTGTGTCATAGACCATCACAAAGTGGCACATAATTGTGAAGTGGAAGGAAAATGAGAAATGGTTTTCAAATGTTTTTACAAATATATATCTGAAAAGTTTGGCATGCATTTGTATTCAGCCCCATTTACTCTGATACCCCTAACTAGTGGAAACAATTGCAACAATAGAGTCCAAATACAGCTGTTCTGTCAAGCCCTCGGAGGTTTGTTAGAGAACATTAATGAACAAACAGCATCATGAAGGCCAAGGAACACACCAGACAGGTCGGGGATAAAGTTGTGGAGAAGTTTAAAGCAGGGTAAACAGCAAAACTACCAAGACATGGCCATCCACCTAAAACAGATGAGCCAGGCAAGGAGAGCTTTAATCAGAGAAGCAGCCTAGAGGTCCATGGTAACTCTGGAGGAGCTGCAGAGATCTGCAGCTCAGGTGGGAGAATCTGGACAACTAGTTACAACTCCACTAATCTGGCCTGTATGGAAGAGTGGTAAGAAGAAAGCCATTGTTGAAAGAAAGCCATAAGTCGTCCCATTTGCTGTTGGAGAGAAGCCATATAGGGTACACAGCAAACATGTGGAAGAAGTTGCTCTGGTTAGATGAGACCAAAATTGAACTTTTTGTCCTAAAAGCAAAATGCTACATGTGGCGGAAAACGAATACTGCACATCACCCTGAACACACCGTCCCCACCGTGAAACATGGTGGTGGCAACATCATGCTGTGTAGATGCCTTTCTTCAGCAGGGACAGGGAAGCTGGTTAGAGTTGATGGGAAGATGGATGGAGCCAAATACAGGGCAACCTTAAAGAAAACCTGTAAGATTCTGCAAAAGACTTGAGAATGGGGCGGAGGTTCACCTTCCAGCAGGACAACAACCCTAAACATACAGCCAGAGCTACAATGGAGTGGTTTAGATCAAAGCATATTCATGTGTTAGAATGGCCCAGTCAAAGTCCAGACCTAAATCCAATTGAGAATCTGTGGCAAGACTTAAAAATTGCTGTTCATAGATGCCCTCCACCCAATCTGACAGCTTGAGCTAATTTTGCAAAGAAGAATGGGCACACATTTTACTCTCTAGATGTGCAAAGCTGGTAGAGACATCCCCAAACAGACTTGCAGCTGTAAATGCAGTGAAAGGAGGTTCTGAAAAGTATTGACTCAGGGGGTGCTGAACACAAATACACACACACACGTTTCAGATATTAATTTGTAAAACAATTCTGAAAACCATTTATCATTTTCCTTCCACTCCACAATTATGTGCCATTTTGTGTTGGTCTGTCACATAAATCCCCAATAAAATACATTTATGTTTTTAGTTGTAACATGACAAAATGCGGAAAATTTCAAGGGGTATGAATACTTTTTTCTTTTTTTTTTCTTTTTTTTTATATTAACAATTTTTATTGATTTTCAAGAATATACAAACAGTATGTTTAAAAAAAAAAAAAAAAAAAAAAAGGATAAGAAAAGAAAACAAGCAAAACAGAAAAGGTATATCGATGGCAAAACTGCGTAGGACAGGACCAACAAAAACATAAAATAACAGTGTGAAGGTTATCAGGACCCTACATTTTGGGCAGGCATAGAGGAAATGAAGGTATCCCATGGGAGCCAAATCATCTCAAACACAGCAAACGAACAATTATGTAGTGCAGTCAAGTATTCCATCTGTCTAACATCAGCAATAAGTTTGTACAGAATCGACATTGAAGGAGGGGTAGAAGACAACCAACACATAGGAATGCTTCTCCTAGCCGCGGTCAGAACATGTACAGCAAGTTTTCCGGATGGTTTAGGTAGACCCGGAAGTGGTAGACCTAGTAAAAAATGTAGTGGATCAAGTGGGAGAGAGGTACGCATTAGTGATTGTAACAGGGAGAGAACATCTTTCCAGAAAGGAGTAATGGAGCCGCATGTCCAAAAGATATGATAGAGAGAACCCTGGTCTCCACCACAGCGCCAGCAGGCAGGAGAAGCATTTGGATTATAGGCATGAAGAACTTCAGGTGTTTTGTACCATAACATCATGAGCTTGTATATATTTTCCTTAAAAACCACACAAACAGAAGATCTAGATGCATTTTCCCAAATTTTCTTCCACGTTAATAGATCAATATCACAATACTTTTTCAAAGCACTGTATATCCTATACATAGATCACCTGAAAATTCACTTGGTATATGGCACTGTTAAAACACATACAAGAAATTTCAAGATATTGTAGAATACATGCCTGCACACTACTGGGTTGCTGGTTCCCTTTTTCTGTAGGTTACTAATACATCTAGTTCTATGGGTCTTGTCACATGAGTGATTTGTTACTGCTAAACATTTAGCATTTTTGTCTCTAGGAATGTACTGCAGCCAATGAAAGGTCTGTAATGCAGCAATTCTAGTTATTTGTTGCTGAGCAATTAACATTTTACATGGACCTAACAGTTATAAATCGACAGAGAAAAATTAGCGTTTACTCACACAACCACAGATAAATGCAATAATACAGCACACATATTTTGTTATAATAAATGCACTGCAAACCATTAGCTGTACCAGAAGGTAAGTATGGCTTCGAGACAGTTTCCCTGTCTCCAGCTGATGCATACGGAGGAACACATCTGTCTGAGGAGTAGTGTCATTGATGATGCGCATAACCTGCAGAGCATGGTGAACATCATAAAACTGCTCCTTCCTGTGTACCATCACCATGAGATGAGTCTCCTGGTGAGGGGGCAGAATTCCTTAAAAAAAAAAAAAAAAATGATTAAAGTAATACATAGACTGCTCATTATATGCAATATTAAACACGTGTTACTATTATGAATGCTCAAGACACAGTAATGTGAACAAGATGAAGCACCACCAATCTCTTACATTGTCAACTATAAACAACTGTAGCATGAATCATTTATACATACATTTTGCTAAGTTTTGTTAACATTTATAAAGGGATTCGATATTAATGTCATTCTCCACCCATTCCTAAAATCTAGGGCTTACAAAGCTAGTAGTAATATAAAATTTATAGTGCTTGATGATATTCTAAAATTAACATTAATTTCAAAAGCCAAAGTGGTCTGTGTTTCAAATATCTAGCCAAAGAAACGACTGTGCTGGCAGCAAGAAGGTCACCATTTCCTATTCCAAAATAAGCATTATATGCCTCATGTCCTCAAAGCTCAATTCCGTGGCTATTGGGGAATACATTTAAAGTTTCTGTACCTAAAGTATTTAAATCCACTTTGTGTGCACAAAATGTTCCTTTGTAATTCCAGTTATTACCTTGTAAAAGTAACAGTGCTGTCATCACTCTGCTGCACATAGCCTGTGCAGAGAGAGTGAGCAGGGGGTGACCGGATCTTATTACAGGAACACACTTGCCTCTTATATTTAGATAATATTTTCCTTACCCTAGAATTTAGCGTTAAGAACATCTCTATGTATCAATATACTGTCCATAAAGGTCTACAAAATGAATGGCATTACCTACATACCTACCTGGTCTACTCAACTCAGCAAAGTTCTGCCTGTAGACCATCATCCTCAGGATGAAAAGTGGGATGTATACTTACAATGCCCATGGGAGGTGCATATACAGTAGCCTTAACAGTTATCAAAAATGATATACCCCTATGATGGAGTTATCTCTGAAGAAAGAAAATATCAAAATACACAAAATAAAACACGATAGCCAAATATCCATAAATAATAAACTTTTATATATCTATTTGTATGTATTTTTATTGTATCAAAAGTTATTTTTTTTCTTTCATGTCTCCAAAGAACCTCCCTACAAAACATTTAAAAACACTTAGGGCCGGTTCACACCATGAATCGTAGAGGAACATGCAGTGTGCTCCTGTGTGATTCACATTCACGCGTGAAATTACACCCACACCAAAAATGTAGTGCATGCACAATTTTATAAAATGCATAGAAACCAGATTGCATGGTACTACTGTACTACAGTGCAGGAAAACGCACTACATCTGTGACCTGCATTTGGGGTGTCGTTAGGTTAATACCAACACCTGTAGCAGATCACACTATGAGCTGGTTATTAAAATACTGTTTTGCCAAGCTCATATCTATTTTTTTTATTCTTTATTTATATACAGGTATATTATCACTTATCAAATTCAGCATCTATGACATAGCATCCAGACACTCATACAAATAGTGCACTGGGAGCTCCTACAGTAAAAATGGACAGTCACAAAATCAATAATTATCAGTTATAGGCATACACATATTACAAAATATCCTGAAGGTACAAGGAAGGAAAAAAAAGGCAAGTTCAAATAACTGTATTGATATTCCAATCCCCGTACGTAAAAAAAAGCTGGTTGGCAATCCATCAAGCACAGCTCACATCCATTTAATTTGCACATATTAAATTATCAGACGTCGCCCAACATATAATAACTCTCAGTTCTCTGTTAGTACCCGTTTCACAAAAGCTTACTTATATGATACAAGGTAATAAATGTCAAACCCTAATAACAAATAGTGTTAGCAATAATGTCCCCAATTAGGACTCTATGTGGTGTGGATATGCTCTGCCGGTTACCAGGGACAACTGCCACTGAACATAAAAGAGGCAGCCAGTAACCAATAGCATTGCATAAAGTCTCTGATGTACCGCCACAGCCAGCATATAAAGAGGGTATGTGTATGAACTGTCATCATTTACTAGCTGCATTTTTTTAAATCTTTTTTTTCTTGTTCAGAGATATCTCCATTATAGGGGTTTGTAACAGGAAGACTGCTTTCTAAGAAAGAATTTTGATGACTCATAATTGTAAACTAATAATATTGGATTCCATGCCTTCTCCCCGTACTATCAGATTTGAAAACAGCGTGGCCATGCGGGGCTCCGTCTACACGGCTGTGTCACTCATCCACAGAGTTCTGTGAAGGAGTGCCTACAAGTCCTGGCAGCCTTAGTGGCTCTCAGCTTGTAGTTTTCAATTAACTACCACGGTGCTGTGGAGAGCCGTGTTAGTTCTTTGAAGCTTCCTGTCAGAATATCTACTGGTCCATACATCTCCTACAGTAAGCAGATATTCTGACAGGTCTGCAGGAGACCTGCATTGCATCAGCAATCTACTGATCGCTGGTGCAATGCTTTACAGGCTCCTTTGGATAAAAATAATAAATGTACTTTTTTTACCTGCAAAAAAATGTGCGTTTATTATTTTTATGCAAATGGTGAACTTATCTTTTAATTAAAATATTATCTGGTGATCCTGCAATAAAAGGATACAGGGAGACAATGCTCTGTGCCTGTCTCCCAACTACTCTCCTGAGTTTTTTGTCACACTCTTTACCAATGGAGACTAGAAGTGGTCATACTGGCACACATTTTACAGACTTTTTCCATGGGACATGCCATCAACAAGCTCACCCCAAGCAGCAGTTGCTGGAGAACATGCATTGAAACAGGGAGTGGCTGTAAAGGACAAATGTCCTGCAGGACAACTATCAGTTAGGGTTTACATCTACTTTAAATTCTAATACTGTATGTAACAAACTTATATATCCAAGTATATTCAACATAATAGCAGTTTGATCAATACATTATCCACTTGAAGACCAAGCCTTTTCTGACATTTTTTGTTTACATGAAAAAATCAGTATCTTTTGTTAGAAAAACTACTTAGAACCCCCTTAAAATAACGGCTTTAATTTTTTACACTGTTGCCTTAAAATTTCTTTTTTTTTTTTAATCACTTTTATGGTTATTACAGGGAATAGAACTATCCCCTGTGATAGCAATAGGCAGTGACAGGTACTCTTTACTGAGAGATTTGTGGTCTATTAGGGTGTAAACATCTCCTCCCACTGCTAGTAAAAGCAATCCAGTGGCTAATTTGCCACTAGGATTGCCTTTACAAGAAAGCCGACCGATGGCTCTAAAAAACAATACTGGGATTATGCCTGCAGCTGCAGGCATCTTCCCGGTATAACCACTTGAAGTCCAGGAACGTACAAGTGTTTGATTGTTAACCAGGGCCATGTGCATCAAAAGTGTCTGAAGGAAAATGTTTCTGTATTGCCCTTAACAATTCAGCTGTCAATGATGGTTCCAAAATAAAAGAACATGGCTGTTTACTTTATTTTTAAACCATTATTATACTCTTATCATAGTTATTATTCACATGACCGATGTGTAATGCTGTGAAAGAAACTGAGAAGGTTATCCATACCAAGAAGTACTTTCCATACAAGAATTCGGTACATGGATGGAAGAGGAAATCTCTGACTGAAGGTACACAGCTTCTCAATATCTGTGGACAAAAAGGGTAATATCAATTATCCAACTAGTATTCATTCACATGACAGCAATTATTACCCCTCAAGAAGACCCACAAAGCCTCATTTACATCCTGGAAATATAAAATGTCTGTCCTGTACCATTTCAACAGATGAGCTCCTAGCAGATTCTTATAGGCCAAAAAAAACGTTATTACACTGAACTATGCTATGACGATTAACAAGCCTTTAAAGTGTTACTAAACCCAGGACCCTGCATTCCCTATATCTGGTCTCCCACAGTACACACAACATAGAAATGCAATTATTTTAGTATACAAACTGCTAAATACAATTTCTCATTAGCAGTTAGAGCAGTCTTGTGACTTCTATCAGTGTCCAGCCGAACACTGCTTAAAGTATGTAGGAGGAGTTTTCATTTTAGTCCAGGAGGATGCAGAATGCCTGACTTCTGTCTGGACAGTGCTGATAGGCCCTGTGCTCATCACATGCACTCTCCCAAGAAAAAAAAAAAAAAAAAAAAAAAACACACACCTCTCTAGCAATACACATTAAACTGAGCATGTGCCGAGTGACTCTCCACACCATATGTCTTATCAGGAGATAAGAGGGGGACACTGGAAGAAGGGGAGAATCAGAGAAGTCATGATCAAACAGAGTTTTTACACAATGCAGAGGATTAATCCCTTTGGTTCCACAGGGAGATTAACAAGCATGCTTTACTATACAGACTAATTTTGCGGTTAGGTTTAGTAACACTTTAAAGGGTGTATCTGGTCCAAACTTATATTTACATCCCTGATGGAAACTTGTGGACGGAGATACCTGCTGACATCTTAAAACTCTTCGGGAATTGGCCACAGTCTGATTCTGTTTCATACCACACTACAGTCGTCCCGCTTCTCGAATTGTTTTATTTATTAAATTTGTTTTCCATCATCACATTTCAATCATTTTGAATATTTCAAAATATCAAATATTTTATGTCCAATTTACAATTTTTTAAAGACTAAATATATATTTGAATTTAGAGCTGGGTACTGTAATTGATTGTGATGTGCATTTCCTAAAAAGTTATCACTTATATGTTTGTTCTACTCATTTTGCTTACAATTTTTAAAACTGGTATTTGATTATCACAGAGTAATGTCCAAGACACGATTGTGCTGCTGTAGCCGCTTGTGAAAGTATACTATCATTTTTATCAATTTTTTGTTTCATCGTACCCACCTAACCGATCATCTTTCAACAATATCTCCAGGGATTTCTTCTCCTCCACACCACGAAATCCAACTTTCTCATAATACACAGATCGGAAATTTCTCTGGGAATCTTCTGACATATTTTATGCTGAAAACAAACATTTTTTTTCAATATGTAGTAATTTAGAGGTAATAGAGGTATGGAAAAGGTAGCATATTACAACTAGGCCTAGGAAAAAGTAGGATTTGGCATTTGAAGAGCATACTTGCACATCATGAAAAAAAAGAGCTTGGGGGGGGGGGGGGGGGGGCAACAAGTAAAGTTCTACTTTAAATACAGAAACATTCCTGGGAGGTAAAAGTACGTAATCAAGTACACCACTGGACGAGCGATTTCTGTAATTTTTTTTTTTTTTTTTTTTTTTTTTTTTTTTTTAATTATTCAATCCACCTTCAATTAACCAAATCGAAAAATTGACTGCTACTGCTTTCTTTATTGATGAATTACAAGCAACCAGAGAGTTGGTTTAAAAGTGGTTTCTTCAGTATATTAATGGTACATATTTTGATGTGATATTTTATTAGAACATTGGATCATTTTCACAAGAGCTGAATCTTACCCTGAAGGGTAGTAACATTCCTCTTACAAGTGAGTTTTTTGCCATCAGGATAATGATGCAATAATTAAACAGATATTTTTGTCTTCTATGAATAAACCCTTCTGGGTGAAACATGTTAGAGAGGAGCTGCTTTAGGCAGGGCTATGCTGCATGTCAACTGCCTTCAATAAACAGACATACCAGTGAGGCTGCTGGAGTGCGACCCTCCTTTATCTGTTTGTGGGGTTTGTCTTGTGTTATAGCGGACCTCCAGCCAGAAAAAATTCCTTATTATGAAGATGCTGCCTTCCCTTGTTTAAAAATTCTTCCCAGTTGTTTTAACAGTGCATTTTCTACTCTCTTATCTTGCAAACATGCCCCTAATGCCTCATGTATCTTATCCCTTCCAGTTTGTGTGACCTGACACCATAGTTGTGAATGTGTCCCAAGGGCTCATGTACACGGGGAGTATGGAAAACTCTTCTGAACAACGGAAACTGACTGCTGGAGAACGTAGGTTAAAAAAAAGTCTGTTTAGACGCATCTGCATACCGTTTATGTGCGTTTGCATTTAGAAGCGTTTTTAAAAGATAACCTCAAGAGACCTTCCCAAATGCCCAGAATGCACTGAAAAATTGTAAAAAAATTAACTATTTCAGACATTTTGAGAGGAATAGAGAGAGCAGAAGCAGAAAGAGCAGTATGTGTTGAGATGACCTGTCTTTTCTGGTTGTATTCACTATGGATCCCATCATGAGCATAATGCAGAACGTTCTACCATTTGTTCCTTCACGCAAAACCTGAAACTGACTGCGCTGGTGTACTAGGTCCATTTGAACACATGTAAAATGCTTTGCATGCATTTCTGATGATGAAAAAATGCTCTGTATAGCATCTGGACATGGAACAGTCAAAAAATGTTTCTAAATGCAAACGCTTATAAACGTGGTTAACCGCACTTACTAGCGTTTGAAACGCCGGTAAAATCTACTCCTGAACACAAGTTTGGTGCGTTCAAAAAATGACCGTGAACTCAACTGCCTGTAAACGACGATGTGTACATGGACACATAGGAAAACATTAAGTTCATGGGCTGCTGAAAAAAACCGCTGAACAGATCCTGAACATCAGTTTAGCAGCTGCAGTGTACATGAGCCTTAAGGAGAAATGGCTCCTGGTTCTGTATCCTCACCTGTGTATGGTACAGAAGAATAGTGGTGTATCACTATGGGTGGGTATGACTGCACGCAGTCAGGACACGCCTACATCGATGTGACTGGCTGTATGGGTGTTCACCAGTCAGCAGGGAACAGCCCATGCTGACCCACCACATGAGAGCACATGTATGATGCAGCACATACTTAGATCCCCCCTTCCCCCAGCTCCTGGGAAATGTAGATATTTAGCAAGAAGCCACCAATATCGCAAGGGCTAAAAATATAAAATTATACAAAATAAAATAATTGTAAATTTGTACATTTTACAGCAGTTTTAGTTTTTGTGCATGGGGAAAAGGAGCTAGGACTCCAAAGTGGACAGGATCCTGGAGTTCAGCTTTAGAGAATGTGTTAACCCAACATTTCATATTCCTGAATATTTACCAAAGTCTGTTGTACCATGTAGTTGTGTTGAAAAGTATACTGGGGTCAATTCACTAAAGGTTATCGCATGCGATATGAAGGTCACGTGACTAATCTTTCCAAAAATATCACGAGATAATAAAAGAGTCAATTCATCAAAATAAAACATTGAATATGAGGTACATATTGCACATTTGTTAAAATAGTGAGATAAAAAAAAAAGAATGAAATCAATCATGAAAGTCAATTCATTAACCACTTTCCTGTCGCCCTAAAGCAGAAATACTGCTACAGGACAACAGGGGTTGTGCAAAATCATGTATATAAATGTGATTTCGCATTTCCAGGTAGGGAGTGCGCATGTGTGCCCTACCCGCCCTGCCATTGGCGGCCTCCCTTTTCAATCATCAGGTCCCAGCCGGCGTTTACCCGCCGGCACCCAGCGATCGCCGTGTGTCACCGACGAGGGAATAGACCTGTATGTAAACAATACAAATCTCTTCCATCAGCTCTGCACACTGCTTTGTATGGCTCTGCATAGCAGAGCCTTACAAAGCAGTGTGCTTACAGTGCAAAGCACACACACAGCACACAGTTAATCCTTTGATTGCCTAAGATGTTAACACCTTCCTGCCCAGTGTCATTAACCACTTGCCGCCCGGCCTACGGTCAAATGACAGCCGAGTGATCACTTCGTCCCTCCGGGAGGGCGTCATATGACGTCCTTCCCAAATCGCGTTTTGCACGGCTGATGACAGATCTGTGCACTGGCCCCGTTGCCAGTACCATGTGGCCTGTTGTGACCAATCACAGCAGATTACATGACAGTTGTATACAGTGGATGGCTTCCTTTCATGCCATCCAGTGTATACAACTGTGTCTAGCTGTGAATGGTCACAGCGATCACATGCACAGGCTGGGCCAATCACAGCCCATCTGTGTCATGTGATTAACCGTGGTCAATCACAGCTAATCACAACAAAAAAAAACCTGATTTCATTCAGTTAAATGCTTGCTTATAGCAAAAAATTATTTGCTATAAGCAATCAAATTGTGTAAAAAAAAAAAAAAAAAAATACTGATCACTTCCGCAAAGTAGTACAATATTACTATGGTATCATTATACTACTTTGGTCATAGTGCACTATGAAAAAAAAATAAATCTTAAAAACAAGAGAACAAAATTGTAAAAAAAAAAAATCTCTTTTTTTTTTTTTTTTTCGTTCTGTCACCAGTCAGTGTCCCTGATCACCGCCACACCAGTTATATGCTGAAACTGTACTGCACTGAAGACAGAATGTAAAAAGAAAAAAAAAAAATAAAGTGAAAATAATTTTTTTAATTTATGTAAAAAAAAAAAAAGATTTTCGCGCCGCTACTAGAAATGGGACTAATGGGACAGCAGCGCACACCTGGCTGTACCACTAGCAAAAAAAAAAAACAAGCAGAAAATTTATGTTGTGCTAATTACAATAATGCCACAGACATTCCAAAACAAATAAGATGAGAAGACAATAGATAACACACCATAACATAATCAGTGAATGGAAGGAATATGGGAGTGAAGGGAAAGGTGAAATAATAAAGGTCCAAAATGAGGACCAAAAGGTGTAACAGACAATAAATCGTGACCGTGGGCAAAATCAGGGAAAAATAAAATAACTAAATCACAGTAATAGTGGGACATATGCGTCCGTCATAACATAAATACAACTGATGAGAAAGTAGAGCAAAATGTGAAAAATACAAAATGAAGTGCTTAAATATTAAAAGTGGACAAACCACTTATCACAGAAGAATGACAATAACAAAGCACAGTGAGGCCAAAAAACGTGACCTGGCCTTTTGATGCACATTGTGTTATGACCCTTTTGTCGCATGGTCACTTTTTTTGGCCTCACTGTGCGTTGTTGTCATTCTTCTGTGATAAGTGGTTTGTCCACTTTTAATATTTAAGCACTTCATTTTGTATTTTTCACATTTTGCTCCACTTTCTCATTAGTTGCATTCATGTTATTTCATTTTGTTATGACGGACTCATATGTCCCACTATTACTGTGATTTCGTTATCTGATTTTTCCCTGATCATTTCCGTGCGTTTAGCCCACGGTTTATTGTCGGTTACACCTTTTGGTGCTCATTTTGGACCTTTATTATTTCACCTTTCCCTTCACTCCCATATTACTTCCATTCACTGGATTATGTTATGGTGTATTATCTATATTCTTCTCATCTTATTATTTGTTTTGGAATGTCTGTGGCATTACTGTGATTAGCGTAACATCAATTTTTTTAACTTCATTTTCTGAAGAAAAAAAAATTTTTAAAAAAACTTGCCCTGGCTCTTATACAATACGTCGGACTGTCTACTTTGCAAAAAGGGGTCATTTGGGGGATATCTGTACTGTTCTGACATTTTTGGGCCTCAAGAAATTAGATTGGCTGTCAGTACTTCAGGATTGATCAATTTTCAGATATATCCCATAGTTTGTGAACTCTAAAACTTTCCTAGAGACTAAATAATAAAAACCGATTTGGGTTATTTCACCAAAGAAATGTAGCAGAATCAGGGGTGGACTGACAACTCATGGGGCCCCCGGGCAATAGGGGATCATGGGGCCCCTGTGTCCTCGCCCACACCCAAAAAAGCTTATGAAATAGCCAATGAAAAGTACCAGGGACATCTCATGGGGCCCCCTACTGACCCAGGGCCCTCGGGCAGTGCCCGAGTGCTCGAATGGTCAGTCCGCCCCTGAGCAGAATACATCTTGGCCTAAATTTATGAAGAACAATTATTTATTTACAAAACTTTTATAACAGAAACAAAGAAAAATTTGTTTTTTTTCTAAATTTTCATTTTTTTTTTAAATTTAGCAAAAAATAAAAACCCCAGTGGTGATTAAATACCACCAAAAGAAAGCTCTAGTTGTGTGAACAAAATTATAAAAATATTAGTTTGGG